TTTAAAACAATTTAAAAATTTAATCAACAATAGCCCCGTTTACATTACAGTCAATTTATCGGCACGGCACGGCTAAAATTGGTACCCGTGCCCAATTTTAATAGGGAGCTTTAGCAGTGACTACGAGTACGACTACGAGTACGAGATTTGTCATTCTCGCGCGTTGTTTGCTTACGCCATCAGCCAAAACTCGTAGTCGTTGGGCTTTTGAGTACGAGTTTTTTGATAAATTTCGTACTCAAAAGCCCAACGACTATGAGTTTTGACTGATGGCGTAAGCAAACAACGCGCGAGAATGATGAATCTCGTACTTGTAGTCGTACTCGTAGTCACTGCTAAAGCTCCCTATTAGTGTTCAGGCTACGAAAGCAAAGGCCGAGCACAGATGAAATGGGCACCCATTTTAGCCGTGCCGTGCCATTAATAAATCGAGTGTAGTGTAAACGGGACTAATATAACGTGAGAACAACACGAGGCTACGTTGACATACAGTGATTTATGAGCGGCTAGTTGAAAACAATATTGTCTCGTCTTTAATGTACTGATAGCTCATTGTTTTTTTAAATCTTATTCAACATTTGTATACCGGGCAAGATGTTCAACGGGGAGATTTTAATTAGACTGTATGTCAACATAGCCTAATCTGCACATTTGAGAAGTTCAAGCAAATCAAGCATTGAACTTCTCAAACGTGCAGTTTGTAAACTGCATGGTGGGTTTTATTGCCCCAGTTTTTTGTGCCCCCTGTCGCTGCGGACACACGACTTTCGTGTGGCCTCTTTGGCCACATAACCAACAAACAGCCCCTATAAATAAAAAATGTTATTACATAGCTTTGAATTAACTGTGAATTGGTGATAGAACTGCAGAATAATTACTCGGGTCACCAGTTGGAGAAAGAAATAGCCTAAAACATTATTGTCATATATTGCGATGGGCAGCGGCTATACTACCATCTACTATCTAAGAATAGCCTTGAAGCCATGATTATATTGTTTGTGAACCAGTGACGTAACCACTGACTATACATTACGTGACAAATCATAAGGTACTGTATACATACGTGCGTCGCATGTCGCCGCTCGGTGGCCACGAAGGCCACATTTGTAACACCGCCCTAATATCAAGAAATGATATCAAGAAATAATTGGTTTGCAGGCTACCAAAAATCTTGAGTTAACTGCATGACCATTATCAATTAAACTTTACTAACCTCTCATTTGTCCATGCAACACTAAAAAAACAAAATGTCATATTGAGCATCCTGACAATGCAATATTTGTTGAGTAGCATCTAATGGGAAAAACCGGAAACAATTGTTGTGGATATAATGAATCATACAGTACCTATGCCTCTTCCCCCGAACCGCCCAGGGCATGGGTCATTATCTGAAATAAATAAATAAAACAAACTTCGTTGACATATGCCATAAATCCATGTAATGATAGGAGGCAACCTTTTTAATTTTAGAGTTTTAAATTGAAGACAAAAAACTTGAACATGCATCATCATCACTTAATACATAAAATTAGTAATATAGAACAAAGTAGCTGATACATATATACTGTCAAGGTTTGCATTAACTTGAAAGGCTTGAGAGTTGAAAATATAAGTTAGTTCATTTCAATATATATTAAGATGCAATTGCTCTACTATACCTTTCTAATCATAAAATGTTAAACAATATAGGCAGTATATACAAAATTTCAAAGAACATATCATTTTTGTGCATATTCAATCAGCATACCAGGCCTTTCTTGAGGTGCATGACCATTGTCAATTGAACTTTACTAACCTCTAACTTGTCCATGTAACACTAAAAAGACAAAATGTCATATTGAGCATCCTTATAATGCGATATTTTTTGAGTAGCATCCAATGACCAAAACTGGAAACAATTGTTGTGGATATAATGAATCATACAGTACCTCTGCCTGCCCCCCGAAACCGCCCAGGGCGTGGGTCATGATCTAAAATAAAAGAATAAAACAAATTTGGTGACATATTGCATAAATCCATGTAATGATAGGAGGCAACCTTTTTAATTTTAGAGTTTTAAATTGTTGACAAAAAACTTGACCATGCATCATCATCACTAATTAATACATAAACTAAATAATATTGAACAAAGTAGCTGATATATACCATCAAAATTTGCATTAACTTGCAAGGCTTGAGAATTGAAAATATAAGTTAGTTCATTTCAATATATATCATCATGCAATTACTTCACTATACATTTATAAATGTTAAACAATATAGGCAGTATATACAAAATTTCAAAGAACATATCATTTTTGTGCATATTCAATAAGCACATACCAGGCCTTTCTTGAGGTGGAGGATTCACTAGATTAAATGAGAGTATTTCAGTTGTGCAGGGAAAAGTATGCATCAATAAGTCACATCAATCATGAAACTTACTGGGTTGCTCAGCTGGCCCCTGGGCCAGGTCAGGGACTGCCTCAAGTATTTCTACAGTGAAAGAAAATTTGCATGTGTTATCCTTTTAGTGCTATGTGAAAAGACATACAAATTAACTAACTGTGACAAAAATAATATTTCAAATAGTTTTTTAATGTGCCTATATACATACCAAGTATGAGTTCATCCTCATTATTCTCCACTAAAGTAGTTGGTAAAGTAGATGTACATATTAATACAATAATTGCACTACCAACATCATGAAAAAAAGTGCTTTGTTGAAATAATTTTGCATCTTACTTCTTCGTCTCCTTTAGATCTTTAGTGTATATATAAATATGCCATCAACATAAAAAATATATTGAGCAAAAAAAGTATGTAAAAACAACAGCACCATATAGCGTACTCGAGGCAAGCTCAAAAATCATAATATACAAATATTAGTTTTGAAAAAATATATCTATTGTAATATAAACAAACTTACATGTTTTAGATTTTTTTCAAAACTTCTTTTAATCTAAAATATAAGAAAAAATATAATATTTTCATTATTTCCTAAAGGTAAAGCGCATCAGCCATCAGCGTTGCAAAAATCGACAAATTTATAAATGCGTTAAAAAAAGTTTTTGCAGTTTCTTCCAAAAATGTTTCTCCTCAAATTTGTAAATTAAAATGTCAACAAGCGAGAAGTGTAGTATAATTTATTGGGCGAACTTCGAAATGTTCAATATTTTATAAAGTTTTTTATTATGAATATGACTTACCCCAGTCCAAACAGTGACACAGAACAGGACGATATTTTCGCGCGCTTTTTGAAATTTATGATATACGTGGATTTTGCGTGTACTCTTTTTCAGTCACCAGGTAAATCGCGTAAACGCCTACACGCACGAATTATAAAGTAAAGAGTTTTGAACAGTGAAATGGTTGATTGTTTATATTGTATCTTACCTGATTGATGTTCTAATGTTTTTTAGTAAAACGAACAAACTTTAATAATGTAGATATCTGTACATGTCAACAGCCACCCTCAAAAACATAATACGTGAGATTATGTGTAGTAACAGGCAATGACACATGTTTACATGATAAATTGCCCTCCTCAAAGACACAATAGAGGAAATGTCTGTAACAATTTTTTAGCAAATTCATTTCCAAAATTGTGTCTAGTAACAGGCAAGTCTTTCCTTGAAAGCACATTGGTGCCCAGTATCATTGAACAATATATATGTAGCAACACAAACTTACAGCACAATCCATCCACCAGATTTTCAATGCTTATGCCTCTGCTCAGTCTTTTCTGCAAGCACACGAAGTCGTCGTTCTGCTTCTTGTCGCTTCTTCAAATTTTTATTCCTACTAATGACTTTCAGACGATCAAATGTCATAGGTTCAAACACAATATCATGAATTGATCTTACCCTGGATGTTGCCACAAATGTGCAGCCAGCAACTCTCTCCCCTTTACCTAAATCAACAACAGCCTTGGTTAGTGTCTGTCCTTGGGACTTGTGTATCGTCATTGCATACCTCAGCCGCAAGGGCAATTGTTGTCTTGACAAATACTTTCCATCCGCCATCCACTCAAACAGTCTTGGAGGCACAGGTATACACTTTGAACATTCTTGTAGAAATGCAGGGCCAGAATATGCCGGAAAATGAACCAGTACTGCAATCGGTAGATTTGGTGGACCCATATTCTCTGCAAACCAAAATTGCTCAATAGTTCCAAAAGAGCCATTGCAAAGACCAACTTCTGCCCAAAGGTTACATGTCAGCATCACTTCTGCTTTGGTTGACAAAAAGAGAACAGCTTCCAAACCACCTGCTTCATCAGAGGTTGCCGCACTTGCACCCCGACCAGAATGCCTTGCTTGAATTTTGACCAATGGTTGTCCAATCTCTAGCAACTTTTCATAATTATATTCAGCGACACTTTTTTTATCAAAGTACAGCTGAATAACATCACTAAATTGATCCATTGAAACATTAGGTCTGGAGTGCTGTATTAATAGTCTCCAGTCCATCTCGGTAACGTGTCCATCTCTCATTCTCTCATAGCGCCCTGAATGCAACTACTTCTGGGTCTTCACCAATCTGTCGCATGACCTGCTCTAAAATGACTACATAATCAAATGTCAAATACATACTGTGACCATGGTCACTGATTACGGATCCATTACCTGCAATGTACATTGGCCTATCGCCTACAGGAGGTAATTGGCCAAAATCCCCCATTAGGATAATCGACATGCCACCAAATGGGACATCCTCTTTTCTTGTACCTGCACGTAGTCTGTTGTCAAGCCATGAAAGCATCTTATGTCCAATCATTGACATTTCATCAATAATGAGAAACCTCTTACCTTCCAATCTTAGTTGCAATCTCTGTAAGGAATCACCCTGTAATTCTCTGTATTCCCGAATCGGAAGTTGAGCTGCGGAATGCAAAGTTTGACCACCAATACTGAATGCAGCAATTCCAGTGGTTGCTGTCACAATACATTGGTCTTGCAATACTTGCTTTAGGGCACTAATTAAATATGTCTTACCTGTGCCAGCAGTACCACTTACAATCATATGTAGCGGTTCACATTCATCATTAGCCATGGATGCAGTGATAATGTCAAATGCCAGCGCTGTTTGTCATTCAAGGTCCCTGGGTCAACCACCACTTGTTGGTCACCTGTGTGATACTGCATACCTTGCTCCTCTGCATCCCTTCTCTGTTTAGAAATCCATCCAGGAGATTCTCTCAACAAATCCCCAGGCACGCCTCTTGCTGCTTCGAACCAATCCACTGCTTCGTTATTTGCCATTTGATTTCCTGCATCCTCATAATGTTGGTTGAGTCTACATAACAACATCCAATCCTCAATTTGCTCTTCCTCATTAGGTTGATCCTGTTCGTCATCGCTTTCATCACTACTTTCATCAGTTCCATATGTTTCATCTGTCTGTGCAGCATGGACCATCTCTGTTTCAATAGAATACCCAAATACATTGTCTCTAGCAAAATCTGTCTGAAGAAATGAAGCATATGTGTTAATAAACATATCATCAGTTTCCTCCATATTGTCCCATGCATTTGATGACTTATCTTCCCATGGTTTAAACTTAATGAGTTGATACTTGCAGTATTTTCCAAAGGTAGGGCTGCCAGGATTGGCTGTAACCTTTGGAAATGTCCTGACAATATAAGGATTCACTCGTTTTGTCAACTCACCTCTGACTCTTGTGAACTGAGATGCATACTGCATCAAATTCAACTGAGATAACCCCCTATACCTACTCTCCACTTTTGTCCGCTCTCCATAATCTTGAAGAACAGAATTCTGAAGTACTTCCTCTTGTGGATTTTCTGCATCAAGGATCACTTTTCTACTGTTTTCTAAAGAAACAGTAACAAAACTATACGTACAGCCTACCAAAGGCAAACTGAGTAACATATGGGCAGTCTCCTGAGCAGCCATGTCTCGATCACCAGCAACTTGGATCATTGCTTTCTTGATTGCAGAAGACACTTGGTCATCATTCTGTAATGAAGATACAGACAACTTCAGTATGTCAGAAGCAGATTTTGATCGTGGTTCCCCTTTTGCTGCATACTTGGCCATATATCTTGCACATGCCTTTTCATCCACAATTACCTGTAAATCCACATTGGCCCGCCAATTCTCAAGCATGACCCTGTTGTGTGAATTCAGCCTCTCATCATTTCTCTTGGTTTGCAACTCTGAGTGTACAGATTTATTTTTCTTACCTCGTACCTCATAAATCAGCGCAGTTTCCTCTTGTAATGGTTTTGGGAACCCAAATCTGCACTCTGCAGGCAGGTCAACCCTCTTCTTTTTCAGGCAATACGCTGGACTGCATCTGGTGTGCCTCTCTACTGAATTTACTAACCTGTGATAATCAATCATGATTATCAACTGATGTGGCTTTCACCGCAGAAGGGTGTGGATCTGGTACTGTCCAGTTCTCATCAGGCAGATCATCATTAACTGTGGTCACAAGCCAGTCAACATAACTTTAAAAGGGATAAAAAGTAACAAATTGGTTAATACCTAATTTGTATATTTTTTCATATTTGCTGTTTACACTCCCAATTCCTTAACAATAGGAATTACCAATTCCTGAAGAAAATATACGGAATTTTGTTTTGTTTTGTGAATGTATGTGGAAGTTGTATTTTTAGACATTTGCAACATTGCAGCATTTGTATAGTATGCTAACCACTGATGCTAACTGTATACAGTGGCTAAAAGTCTGGAAAAAGTCTTATAATGTTCACAGCACACATTGGACACAATCTTTGCAATCTATATGCATGGTGAGTGTAATTTAAACATACCATTAATACTTGATGATTTAAACTTACCTAATTAGCTTTCTCTCCGCATCTTGACCCTCTCTGACAATATCCTGGCAAGAGAATTCAAAATCCAGGGGACATTTCATTTTCTTTCTCTTTCTCAAGCACTGCTTTACATGCACGTTTACGTAATAACCGAATATCTGGATCATTCTTTAATTTAGCACATCCATGAGCATGTATACTTCCTCTGGCCTGATATTCAAACCTATACCAAAACCATTCAGCATCCAAGACACCTTGAAGCCAATGTTTGATAAACTCCTGTAGCCTTTGCATGAAGAACCAATCTGTCAGGTGTGGATTGTCTATCACTGCTTGTGCTCTTGTTCTTGATGCACCCTCATTACTTTGCAACAGTCTTTGCAAGTCTGGCCAATGGCTCAGCTGCACTAAAAGTAAAAAAAGGTAGGGCAACCTTTTTGTTCAATCAGGGCCAAGTTCTTGAGTCTCTGATACCAATACTGATTTGTTCCTTGAATTTTTGAAACATAACGTTGCAAACGATTTACCATTTGATTTGCACCATCGAGTTTACCATTGTTTCAGCTCCTCCATAGTCATGTTTGCATCCGCTGGATGTTGCCGCAAGTAAATGTTAGCTTGTGACAACAACTGATGTCTCTGCTTCATATTCAGCCCAGTATGGGAACCGGGGAGAGAGGCAAACCTCCATTCAAACTTACCATTTGGCAGCCTCTCTGCAAACTTCATCAGGTGTTTGAATGCCTCTGCCAAACTTACCTCATGCTGCCTGACTCTGTTTGTTGGGTCACCTTTCCCATGGGAAATAGTGTTGGAAATGCCATGCTTGCCAAACCATCTGTTTTAAATTCATTAACAGCATTACCTTCTGTAGATGGCCAGTCCAAAGGGTCAACCTCATTCACTGCATCTTGATAGCTGCACCATCCTTTCTTTGTCTTTGCGCATAGGAATAAATGATGTACTGCCATTTCCTAAAACTAATACTTCAACTGTTGCATTAGCACTCATTTCAGGTTCTTGTGGGGGCCCTCATTTTCAACATGAACTAAAGTTCATTGTCATCAATAACATACCTTAGCTCTCAGGGATACCATTCTCTGGTAGACTTTGGATAACATCCCTGTCAATTCAATGTCTTTGAAAAATGGATTGTTTGTTTTCAACCACAATATAGCTTCAGCACCTGTGTCGACGAACTGTAAAATCTTTATGTGTTTCATCAGCACCCTGTCTACGCACAATCATAACAGGCAAGTCAGCTACTTGTGCGGGCAACCTATTCAAAAAACTTTGAATATCCTGTGGTAAGTTTAGTACATGACCTTTGTAAGCCCCTTTGCCCACCATGTTTTCTGTAGACTTGCATGATGGGGCAAACCCTTGAAATCAGCATTTCCTCTACCTGTGTCAAACCTCTCAATTGCTCAGGACCAATACCTGGGTCCATGTCATTGCCAGCACTGAAATTCTTTGGGGACTTCTTGTCTCTTTGCAGGTAACAAACAAAGGGATCTTCTGCCAAGTTTTGCCTTGTTGGCCAAGCCTCTTTACAAATTGTACACTGCCGATGCTCTAAATGCTCTTGATCTAAATGAAAACTGTGCATTTCATTCTGAACAAATTCCCGTTCATGCAAGGGGTTTTCAACATTTTGCCAACCACCTTCATGTAAATACTGCTCTTGATTGTCAACAACACCATTATGTATAGTCCCCACTGACCCTACATCATGCAAACTTACCTCAATATTTTCTGATGGTACCTGGTGTTCTGTGCTTTCATTCATACATGTACCTCTAGTCGTTTCAGCATTTCCTCTTGCATATTGTCTCATACTTCTGAGTCTTTCCTCTCGCCTCTCCTTACTCTCTTGCTGCCTTCTCTGTCTAAAATAGTCTCTATTTTTTTCCCTTTGTTTTTCTCTTTCCTTACCTGTGTTTGTCTCAGCTCGTCGTTTGTAAGCAGCCCTACGTCTTGCCAAACGGCACTCCTCTGCTTCTAACTGGGTTTGATCTTCATGCACAGCTTCTTCTCTTTCATCTTTATCACTTTCTTTATCTCTGCTTGCTTCAGCTCTCCGTTTGTAGGCTTCCCTTTGCTTTTCTAGCCGATAATATTTTTCCTCTGGCGTTTCATTTTCCCGTCGTTTTCTCCTTTTTTCCCTTCGTTTTGCTAGACTCTCTTCACGCTTACCTCCTTCCTCGTCCTGAAAATTTCTATCTGTATTCATTTTTCCCAAAAAAGCTTTTTTTTTTTAAATATTAGTGAGTATAAAGTGTATTTCACAATTTTTTTTAAAAAAGCCAGTCATATATCTGACGTCAAGCCTGATGTGCTTTCAATATTTTTGAAATTGTTTCTCTTAACCAATCATGAGCTTCGTAGGTACCAAGCTACTCTCGGTCTTTTGGAAGCACATGCGCATAACGTAGAAGACCGTCCATGGCGTGAGATCCGTGGCGGACGACTTTGATTTCGCCTTTGCACATCGTGGGTGTAAATATCCGAGTGGAATTAGTACCCTCGCACGGTCCTCCGCACCGGCTCGAGGATTATTACAACAAGCCAACAACTTAGTACAAGCTGTCCTTGTCTCAAGCACGCGTAAAATAATAGTAGAATGGCTGCATTGAATGCTGGGAAGATGCGTTAGCTTAGCAACCACGCCTACGTTGCTTGTGCAGGTCATTGCATGGTCGGACATTACCTGGCCGAGCTGCTCGTCCATTAAAGTTTGCATCTTCTCCGTACTGGTTGTGTTCTGTAAAGTGGAATTCATCATGTCAAAGGACAAGAGGTGATCCCGTGGTAGGTATTTGTGTTAATAATCTCTCTGTAAGGTATTTATGTAACTAATGACAGCTATTTATGCTACTTTGCAGACGAACGAGGTTTCATACATAATTTAAGACCAGTAAAGAAGGCAAAGAGTGGCAAAACCAGTTGGTTTGAATTCACTCTCCAGACCAGCCCTGTGAAAACAAAGCGAGTGGTGGGATTCAACATTTCATCACACAATGAGTTACAAGAGCTGGAGCATAGCAAATCTCCAGTTGTTCTGGTAAACACAAAAGAGAATGAAAATGGTGACCTGATTTTCAATCAAATGTCGAGTGCCCGCAGTGCACGTAGTTCTGATGTTGTTGGTTTTGACTTCAAAGTGTTAGAAGAATCAGCGGAGTCTTCGTCTACTTTAAACATTTGCAGAATTGTAACGATGGATGATGTTTCAAGCATGCAACCTAACCAGAAAGTGACCGTCATCGGAGCTGTGACTTTGGGTGATGAACCAGCCAAGCAAGTTACAATAAGAGGCAAGGAAGAGGTTGCTTTGGTAAAAGAAGATTGTATTCTTGAAGACGGGACGGGGTCAGCGCTTTTGCACATCTGGGATTCTTCGACGAGTTCGACAATCGTTAATGGTAAAAGCTACCGTTTTGAAAATCTGGCCGTGAAATCCTTCCAAGGGGTAACGTTTCTTTCGACAACTCTAACGACATCAATCACAATGGTAGAAGATGTTGTCAAATCTTTAGTTGGCCCCGGGATCCTTGAAAGTCGACAACGGGCTGTTAGTGTAGAACAGTTTAAGATGGTGAAAAACGTGGACATCTTCCTAGCGTGTCAGAGTTGCAACAAGAAAATTGAGGAAGTTTGCGGCAATCTTTTAAAGTGCAAAAGTTGCGGGGTTCAACAAAGACGTTCTTCGTGCGAAACGCATGCTTCGGTACAGGTGAAAGTTGACATTGGAGATAAGAACCTGTGGTTGACTGCGTTCACCAACATCTTGCAAAAACTTTTGGAGCCATCAGTTAAAATAGCAAGCAGTTCTGCTGACTGTATTGAAGAAGCCCTTCTTGGCATTAGTAATGTAAAGATCAGCAATGTCATCACGAAAATCGTGGATGTCCATTAACAGACGTCATTTGATATATCATCATCATGGGGTTTAGGTATCACTTAGTTTTAGGTATTTTAAAAGTTCAAGTTTATAATAATAAGTAGAAAGGACACTGAACACTCGAAGTGTGATCATTGAGCATACCATGAACTGTTATTGAAAGAGTACGTTGAACTGAAGTTTTAATATTAAAGTTGTTACTTGTTAATGTTAGTGCAGTTAAATTTAATTTCAATGTTTTAAAATTGGCTAAGTTTATACTGTTTTATGTATTTAACTATTGGATTATTGTTGTATTCATTGTTCATTAAAATAAAGAATTTGCTTTATAATCCTTTTCTCAACAACTTGAACTTAAGCTTTGTCTTAACTCAGAAAAATCTTGAAGTGGTATAACTACCAGTGATGGAAACTTTCTTTTAAAAAATTAATAAAAGATTTTGATGTTGAAGGAAATTCTTCTTTTATCTTCTTTATTCTTGAGTTCTGTTTATTAATACTATTTTGGTTAATTGTCATCAATTTTTGCAAAATATCTTGTCAGTACTACATTACATTTGATAGAGCCCCACTGAACATCCACACAAACACTTTTCACATATTACATGGTGAACTATGGTTTAACAGTGGGCTGTAGATAATCAAAACCCTTTTATTTT